AGTTTTTGCCATGTTAGCCAGGATGGTCTCAAACTCCTAAACTTGTGATCTGCCTGCCTCAGCCTCCCAAAGTGCTGGAATTACAGGCGTGAGCCACCAAGCCCGGCTGACTATACAGTTCTTTCAGTTCTTTCTATCATTCATCCTTGGAACCAGCCACCTCCTCTGCACCCTGGATCTCTAACTCAGTCCTCAGAAACTTACAGCCTTAGGCAGGGCTCTACACCTACTAACTCCACAGACATTTCTAAGCACTTGCTGTGTGTCAGACACAGCATGTCCTTTGTTTCATTTAATCCTCAAATTCTCTGAGGTAGGTGTGATTATCCTTACTTTACAGATGAAGAAACTGAGGTTCAGGGAGGTTCAATGCAGAGTTCTCTCTGATTCCATGTTCTCATGGAGTTTGGGGGTTTAGGGGAAGCTTGGGGAGAAAAAGGTCCTGTCCTCTGCAGAGGCCCCTGTGACTTGCTGAGTCACTTGCTCCTGTCCCACCTGTCCCTGTCAATCTCTGGGAAGGAAAAATGACACTGGAGAGGCAGAGAGGAGTGACCGCAGAGGCAGAGGGTGGGCAGGCTGGCCCATGGCTGAGACCTCGCTCCCAGAGCTGGGGGGAGATGACAAAGCCACGCCTTGCCCCAGTATCCTGGAGCTGGAGGAGCTCCTGAGGGCAGGGAAGTCTTCTTGCAATCGCGTGGACGAAGTTTGGCCCAACCTTTTCATAGGAGATGCGTGAGTGGTAGCTGGCCAAGGGGCATGGGGGTGGGGACAAGGAGAGGCAGTTCTCGGTCTCTTTACCAGACGAAGGAGGGTGGAAATAAGGAGAAATAGCTCTGCTCCTAGCATCCCGGGCCAGGGACCTTCTCCAGGACCCCCGGATGCCGAGGACAGTGCAGTGAACAGGCATGGCCACCAGGGGGAGCAGGGACTTCGCCTGCATGAAAGCAGGGAGTTTCCCAGGGACCTGAGGAATTTTCTCGCATTTCCAGACAATTGGCAAATCTAGGGGCAGAGGCCTAGGAAATAGTGTTTGGGGCATGATATGGGGTAGACAGAGAGCCCCTCTTTCTGGTCCCAGCCTCCCTCCTCTGGACACACATGGTGGAAAAACCTGACTGAAGGTGAATCTGAGAAGGTGTTGCCTTTAAACATTTATAGGTTAGAAGCAGGTATGGGGCGGTAGCCAAAAGAGGCCGGATGTGCGTGTGAGGACATGGGGCAAGAAGGGAAGGGCAGCCAGGTTCCAGGACTGAAGCAATCCCTTCCTTCCTGTCCTGGCCAAGGCAGAAGCAAATGCTCTGAGGAAGCAAAGAGGGTCTTGGCCAGGCGCAGTGGTTCACACCTGTAATCCCAGCATTTTGGGAGGCCAAGGCGGGTGGACCACAAGGCCAGGAGTTCAAGACCAGCCTGACCAACCCCGTCTATACTAAAAATACAAAAATTAGCTGGGCATGGTGCTGCACACCTGTAATCCGTCTCTACTAAAAATACAAAAATTAGCTGCGCAGCTATAATCTCAGCTACTTGGGAGGCTGAGGCAGGAGAATCGTTGGAACTCGGGAGGTGGAGGTTGCGGTGAACTGAGAGCGTGCCACTGCACTCCAGCCTGGGCGACAGAGCAAGACTCTGTCTAAAAAAAAAAAAAAAAAAAGAATGTCTTAAGATCCACCCCTCCCCTCCCACACACACACCACTGGCTTTTCCACCAGAAATCGTGGGCCTGTGGAGTCAGACCCAGCCTGGAGCTTGCTGGGGTTGGACTCTCTTCGGACGCTAATGGCTCAGTCCCTCTGCAGCAGGGGCCAGGCAAAGCCTTCCTCCTGGTCTCCCTGGCTTGGCCAGCATCCAGTGCTCTTCCTGCCCTCCCCAGGGCCACGGCAAACAACCGCTTTGAGCTGTGGAAGCTGGGCATCACCCACGTGCTGAACGCCGCCCACGGGGGCCTCTACTGTCAGGGTGGCCCTGACTTCTACGGCAGCAGTGTGAGCTACCTGGGGGTGCCGGCCCACGACCTCCCTGACTTTGACATCAGTGCCTACTTCTCCTCCGCGGCTGACTTCATCCACCGTGCCCTCAACACGCCTGGGGGTAGGACTTGGGGACCAAGCCCATATCCCATCTTGCTCATTCATGATGAGGATTCCCCATTTCCTCTTAGTCATCAGTGCCCTTTCATCCTTGGTTTTTAAAAATCCTCTGCTTAGGCTGGGCTCGGTGGCTCAAGCCTGTAATCCCAGAATTTTGGGAGGCCAAGGCGGTCGGATCGCCTGAGGTCAAGAGTTTGAGACCAGCGTGGCCAACATGGTGAAACCCTGTCTCTACTAAAAATATAAAAATTAGCCGGGGGTGGTGGCACGCGCCTATAATCCCAGCTACTCCTGAGGCTGAGGCAGGAGAATTGCTTGAACATGGGGGCGAAGGTTGCAGTGAGCTGAAATCATGCCACTTCACTAGCCTGGGCAACAGAGCAAAACTCTAACTTAAAAAAAAAAAATCCTCTGCTTAGTGCTCCAGCATTTAATGGAAACCTATTCCTTCCCAGCTGGGGAAACTGAGGCCTAGAATACAAGGTCATGCCATGAGTTAGGAGCATCCCTGAGGCTGAAAGGCAGTTCTCCCAAACAGCAGAACAGTTCTTTCTCTGCAGCACTCAGCTTTGGGAAAGCACCATTTTGGTACCTAGATGTCTGCCCCAAAGTACTTTCTTTCTTCTTCTTTTTTTTTCCTGAGACAGAGTCTCACTGTCGCCCAGACTGGAGTGCAGTGGCACTATCTCAGCTCCTCCACCTCCTGGGTTCAAACCCTGCCTCCCGGGTTCAAGCAATTCTTGTGTCTCAGCTTCCCAAGTAGTTGGGACTATAGGCGTCCACCCCTACACCTGGCTAATTTTTGTATTTTAGCAGAGCTGGGGTTTTACCATGTTGGCGAGGCTGGTCTTAAACTCCTGACCTCAAGTGATCTGCCCGCCTTGGCCTCCCAAAGTGCTTGGATTACAGGTGTGAGCCACTGCATCCAGCTCCCAAAGTACTTTTAACTAGAAAAGAAATATATCTCCAAATACTCAGGATACAGCAAAGGAGCCCAGGGAGGCTGGTGTCCTGGCTTTCTGTCCATCCTAGAAGACAGCTATGTCCCTTGCTACATGATCCTGGGCAAGTCAGTGTCCCTCTCTGGACTTCAGTTTCCTCATCTATGTGACAGGAATGACAAAATTACAGCTCACATGACTTTTTAATATCCAAAGCACTTTGACATTCTTTTGTTCTTTATCCATTGATTCACCAGCTATTTACTTAGTATCCACTATGTGCTTGGCACTGAGCTAAATACTAGGAATCCAGACTTACAGAAGCAGGGTCCCTGCCCTCTTGGAACTGGTGGAAAGACTGTCAGATTGTGAATAGTATAGTGAGAGCTCCTCATAGGAGTGGGCCAGTGTGGAGAGCTCTGGGAGCTCACGGCAGGGGTGCTCAGCCCAGAGGATTAGGAAGGCAGTGGGTGACTTCCCTCTACAAAGGTATTCGTGGGTCATATGCAAAAAAGATGAGCCACTCTGTGATTCAAGCAATACTTTGAGCGGTCAAGAAAGCCTGGGGAGGAAGCCACGTCTCAGCAGAAACATGGTGGATGAGTAGTAGAAGTTAGTCAGATGAAGACCAGGGGAGAGGGTTTGCACGTGTTTGGAATAGCATGTGGTAAGACTGGAGGTCAGAGACCATGGCAGCTTCAAGGAACTGCAAGTTCCTCCACGTTCCTTGAGCTGAAGGGAGGGGAGGGATGGTCTGAGATGAGGCTACAGGAGCCAGCTCTTGAAAGGTCTTACAAGTTATATTAAGAAGTTTGGAGGCTGGGCACGGTGGCTCACGCCTGTAATCCCAGCACTTTGGGAGGCTGAGGCGGGTGGATCACCTGAGGTTAGGAGTTTGAGACCAGCCTGAACAACATGGAGAAACCCCATCTTTACTAAAAATACAAAATTAGCCAGGCATGGTGGTGCATGCCTGTAATCCTAGCCACTTGGGAGGCTGAGGCGGGTGGATCACCTGAGGTTAGGAGTTTGAGACCAGCCTGAACAACATGGAGAAACCCCATCTTTACTAAAAATACAAAATTAGCCAGGCATGGTGGTGCATGCCTGTAATCCTAGCTACTTGGGAGGCTGAGGCAGGAGAATCATTTGAACCCGGGAGGCAGAGGTTGCAGTGAGCCAAGATAATGATATTGCACTCCAGCCTGGGCAACAAGAGTGAAACTCCATCTCAAAAACAAACAAAACAAAACAAAAAGTTTGGAAGCCAGGAGCAGTGGCTCACACCTGTAATGCCGGCAGTTTGGGAGAACAAGGCAGGAGAATCGCTGAAGTTCAGTTCAAGACCAGCCTGGGCAACACAGTGAGAGCATGTCTCTACAAGAAAGAAAGAAAGAGAGAAAGAGAGAAAGAGAGAAAGAAAGAAAGAAAAGAAAAGAAAGAAAAAAAAGAAAGAAAGAAAGAAAGAAAGAGAAAGAAAGAGAAAGAAAAGAAAGAGGGAGGGAGGGAAGGAAGGAAGGAAGGAAGGAAGGAAGGAAGGAAGGAAAGAAGGAAGGAAGGAAGGGAGAGAGAAAAGGAAAGAAAAGGAAAGAGAAAAAAAACATTTGGACCCTATCCCAAGGGTAGGCAGAACAGGTGTTGACCTACCCATTTTACTGATCAGAAAACTGAGGCTATAAAGGCTGAGTGACTTGCTGAGGGTCACAGAGTGTGCCACGGCAGGGTCAGGACAGGAACTTGGGTCCCCATCCCAGCCCATGGGTGGGCCGGCTGGTGGGAGAGGGTTTTTCACCAGGATGTCTTCCTCAGCCAAGGTCCTGGTGCACTGTGTGGTGGGTGTGAGCCGCTCCGCCACGCTGGTCCTGGCCTATCTCATGCTGCACCAGCAGCTGTCCCTGCGCCAGGCAGTGATCACTGTGAGGCAGCACCGATGGGTTTTCCCCAACCGAGGCTTCCTGCACCAGCTCTGCAGGGTGGACCAGCAACTGCGGGGTGCCAGCCAGAGCCGAGGGCCCAGGTGAGGCCTCAGGGGGTAAAGCTGGATGTGGTTGGCAGGAAGAGGCCAGGTGAGGGCCTGGGCTGCCGACACAGGGTTGGGTTCTTCTGGGAATGGCTAGCAGGGCTGCATGTGGCTGGAAGTGAGGATTAAAGGGGGCCTGGCCTGCTCCCCAAGCTGCTGGGTTCTCTTCACCTACCCAGGGTATCACCCAAGGGCCTGGCCTAGGCAATTCTCCTATAGGACCCCCAACCTGTCTCCCCCACCCCACCCAGATCCTTCACACCCCAAAGAGAAGAGAAGGACTAGGACACGAAGGCGTGGGAAGCGTAGAATGGAAGAGGGGAGGCCTTCCTACCTGGTCCTGGTGCCAACCTGCCCTGCCTCAGCTGAGAGCCTGTGGGGGCTCCCCTAAATCCCACCGAGGCATCTGCGCAGCCAGCCTGGACCCTCCTGCACCTCCACATCCCATTCTCCTGAGGTCTGGACCCCAGGTACAGTGCCGCACAGAAAACCTTCCCGGCTTAGCTAATTCTCATCCCTGAGCTGAGGCCAGGCCTCCAGGGCGGCTCCCCACCCCGCAGGGCCTGCCTCCAGCTCTGCGTCCCCTCCAGCTCCTTCCCTATCTCACCTCAACCCTGTCTTTGGCTGTCCCTGCCACCCTACTGCAGAGGAGCTGCCATTTGGGGCTGGGTGACTACCCTGGGCGTGCTTGGGAGCTGGAACAGCAGCAGCTTTTTCCTCCCAGAAACTTCCCGGGGTAGGGCCTGACTCTCTCCCTGCTTCCCACCTGTAAGAGCAGTTCCTGTCTCTGCAGGCATAGCCAGCCCCATCGGAAGGGAGGCCCTCCAGCAGCATGGAGCCCTTCCCATGTGCTGGCTGGAGGATGAGCATCTTGGGGCAGAGGATTAGGCAAGTCTCTGGGGCTAAGTTTAGAGTTTGGGGGTGAGCGTGATAAGAAACTTTGGGTTATAGCTGGGCTTGGGATTGGCCTGGGGCCAAGCTGTGGCATGGAGCTCTGTGGGTATGGGGTTTGAGGGGGGCATGCTCCCTGTAGCATGGCAAATTCCCAGCCTGCTCTCTCTCCTCTAGACAGGATCCAGGAACCTGGCAGAGCAGCAGATCTCAGATCACGTCCAGTCACCCCTCTCCCTCAGCCTGGGGCCTTAGGCATCCTGACCTCTGATCTCAGTATCTTTCCCAACAGGGAGCTGACTTTGGGGGAGTTGGCTGGGCAGGAGTGCAGCACTGCACAACTCACTGGGGTGTCATCCACCAAATTGTACAACTGGAGGCCCTAGGAGTTACGCGGCGTGCAGTCTGTGCAACTGTACACAGCAGCTCTGGGTCTAGGGACTCTGAAAGACAAGGGTCCCATGGGGAGAGTCATCTCTGTCCCTAAGCCATGGATACCAAATCCACCTCCTCAGCTCTCCCAGCAGCTGCACTCACTTGTCCTTGTGTGCAGGGCTCAAGGCAGAAGCAGGTTTAGGTGACAGCTCTTATCCCTGCCCCAACAAGTTTGGGCCTTGGTTCACCTGCCTGTAACACAGGGCTCATCTCTCTTCCAGAGCCGGTCCTTACTCCCTGCCCTGGCGCTCTGCCACTTTGCCTCCCTGGCACTGGTCCTGCTGGTGCTGCTGGAGGCTCTGGCCCAGGCAGACACACAGAAGATGGTGGGAGCCCAGTGTGGGGTCCACCCTAGAGCCTGCTACTCCCTCCGGTTCCTCCTGGTGCCTGCACCCCCTCTCAGCTACTGTCTTCGGTCTCCACAGGTGGGAGTGGGCTCCCCTCTCAGCCAAGCGCTCAGGTTTCTTGGCCAGGGACCCCAAATTCCCTGGGGGAATGGGGTGGGGAGGAGAGAGGAAGGGGGTTCTAGGTATTTGTGATAGCTGTTGGCCACAGCTGCCTCAAGCAGCTCCCCTCAGGGCTCAGGGAGCCCCAAGAGGGGCTGAGCGTTAGTTCCCTGGAGCTCAGACCTCAGAGACCCAGTGTGGCTGTGAGCATGGGTATGTCCTGTCCCCATCATCTGGGAGTACGAGTGGGGAGTAGTGTCAAGGTATGGGTATATGACAAGAGTCTGTTGATGACAGAGGTTTCTGATAGGCCCAATTGAAGGTCCCCAGCTGACCACAGTTAGCCTGGGAAGAGACCTTAAAGACCATCTCTTGGCCGGGTGCAGTGGCTCATGCCTGTAATCCCAGCACTTTGGGAGGCGGGTGGAACATGAGGTCAGGAGTTCGAGATCAGCCTGACCAATATGGTGAAACCCGGTCTCTACTAAAAACAAAAAAAAATTAGCCAGGCGTGGTGGTGCTCACCTGTAATCCCAGCTACTCCGGAGGCTAAGGCAGGAGAATCGCTTGAACCCAGGAGGCGGAGGTTGCAGTGAGCCGAGATCGGGCCACTGCACTCCAGCCTTGGCGATAGAGCGAGACTATCACAAAACAATAAAACCATCTCTCTGGCTTCAGGGAACAGTGGGGCCCCTAGGTGTCCCTGCCCTTTGGGTTGGGGGAGGAGCTTGGCAGAGGTTGGTAGCAGCCCTGGACATACCGCTTCTGCCCGCAGCCCAGGGCTGTCCGAAGACCTGCTCCACACCTATGTCTGTTTGCGGGCCTGTGCCGCTTCCTTCAGCCTGGGTTTTCTAGGTCTTTGTCCTGGGCCAGTCCATCATCCTTGGACCCTAACTGAGGGCCCCTGGACCTGGGTCCTGCTGTTGGCAGTGCCACCAGTTTGCGTGTGATTTTTGGCTGATCTCTTCACTATCCCCCCCTATATCCCTCCAGCTTGCACTTTTTGCCCTTCTTCCATAATACCCTTAAAGGCCAAGGGAGAGGGTTTCACTCTGGTCGCCCAGGCTGGAGCACAGTGGTGCAGGCAGGGATCAGGGCTCACTGCAGCCTCGACTTTTTGGGCTCAGGTGATTCTCCCACCTCAGCTTCCTGAGTAGCTGGGACTACAAGCGTGTGCCACTACAACCGGCTAATTTTTTGTATTTTTAGTAGAGACGGGGTCTGGCCATATTGCCTAGGCTGGTCTCGAACTCCTAGGCTCAAGCAATCCTCCCACCTCAGCCTCCCGAAGTGTTGGGATTATAGGTGTTGGCCACTGCACCTGGCCAAGGGACCTTTAAAAATGGTTTATTTGATCTTCCTTCTCCCATGATCAATATACATATATGCAATAGGCCACAGTCAGACCTGGGCCGAGCTGCCTTGACTCTTAGCAGGGCTGGGACTGAAGCCTGGGCCTGGAGGGAAAGGTGCCTGGCTGGGCTTGGCACTGACCATGCCATGGAACCAGTGGACAAGTTGGGAGAGGCAGGGGAGGATGGAAGAGGGGAGCAGACAGCATGCTTTGTAATTAAACTCAAGTCCAAAAATAGAAGCAGCATCAAGTGCGTGGAGACAGGCAGCTGAAAGCCGGCAGCACAAACTGCCCGTCAGAGAAGTGCACAGCCCAGGCCAGATACTCCCACAGGTAGGTGAGTGCCCCTAATTTGCAGGGTTGGGGGGGCTTCCTGGGCATGCTGGGTAATAAAGGCCAGGACACTTCGGAAGGGTGGGGTTTGGGGTGGGTGGGGAACCAACTGGATCAGAGATGAAAGCGCAGACAAAGTATAGTAGAGTTAGAAAGACCTGGGCTTGAATCCTTACTGCCACATCAATTGGCTGTGTGACTTTGGGTATGTTGCTTAGCCTCTCTGAGTCTCAGTTTCCTCATCTGTAAAATGGGGATGATAATATTACCTGCTTCATAAAGGCACTGTGAGTGTGCAGTGTGCAGTGAGAAAATGTAACTACCTAGCTCTGTCTGGCACATAGTACATCCTTGGTAAGTGCCAAATATAATAATTATTGCTGGATAGAGAAAGAAACAGGAAATACAAAGATAGAGAAGAAACCTTACTGTCCCACAGGGGAGTTGCCCTCCACCTAGGATATGGCTGGGGCTGGAAAGGGTAAGAGTAATTATAGTAGTGATAATAATAGTAAGATGCACCATTTATTGGGCATCTCACATGAGACAGACCCTGTGGGAGGTGCTTTACATTCATTATTGCATGGGATTCTCACAGCAGACCCACTGAAGAAACTGGCTCAGTGAAGACCACACAGATGCCAGTACTGGACCTGAGAATTCTGCCTGGGGCCGCCCTCCCCAAGGCCCACAGGCTGAGCACAGAGACCCATATCTGTTCCCCACTGGCAGCCACATGCCACCCTTCTGCAGGCCAGGCTCCTCACTGGTCCTACACTGAGATCTCCAACCCCACATGGCCTGTGGCCACACTCCTGATTGGCCCCTCTTGGGTGGAGTCAGAAAGGGTGGGCAGGAAGCAAGTCCAGGGGACCATCTGAAGCTGCAGCTGAGACATGGATGGCAAGCAGCTGCCCCCTGCCCCAAGGAAGCCTGTGCCTTGGCTTGAAGTTGTGGGCACCCAGGGCAGTGTCACAGGAGGCTTCGAAGGCTCATGAACTTCCTGGGGGGCAGGGTGGTGGGAGACAGGGAAAATTCGGGAGTGACCCAGGGTGGAGAGATACAGAGACAGGAAACAAGTATGTGGACTTGCAAACAGCAGCAGCGCAGGAGCTGGCCAGGAAAAGCCCTCCCTACAGAGGCAGCTGCTCCGCTGAGCAGCAGAGGCAGGAAGTGGGTAAGGAGGAGCTTGGGACCAGGGAGAGAATGAAGGCTGCAGGGAGTGGGAGGGGAGTCTGGCCGGGCCCTGGCTCTGCTCCATGTTGGGCCTGTGCTTCCCGAGGCTGGGGCCTGAGGAGACATAGAAGGCAGTGTCAGGCAAGGCCCTCTGAGGACCAAGTCTTGGGTCACAGAAACCAGGGGAGCTGCCACAGCCACCGACTTCCTCTCCTTGGGAGGGCCTGGGGTTTGAAGGATGAGTCCCTGGGCAGATGGCTGGGCCTGACTCTGGCTGATGGGATGAGGCGGGCCCCCAGTGGGTTAGAGCGGACAGGTGGGGGCTACGTCCTGAGCATCGGGAGCCAGGGCTTAGGTGCAACCTTAGCAGGAGTAGGGCTGAGTCCAGGGGAGAGCCCCGTTCTTTAGACCTGGGCTTAGGTCCCCTCAGAGGCAGAGGCATGCATGGTGGCCTATCAGCCCCCAAATCCTTGACCCCTCTGGAGCTTCCTGAGGGTGTGGGGTCCAGCTCTGTCCTAGCGGGAGCCTGGCTGCTGCTCCCGGGCATGGCTGGGCTGCAAGGCACCCTTTGGCCACCGGGAGGCAGCCTCACACCATGCCAAGCTCTGTGAGCTGAGCGCCTGTCCCACTTCCCAAAGCCACATCTTCCACCTGCGGTGGTGCAGCCCCACCTGGTGGCTCCAAACTAGTGTGGCTGTTGGACTCCCCTGGGGCCCGGAGGCTTCTCCACCATACCACACTGCCCTCTGCTCTGCAGTGACCACACATCCAGACACTCCTCTCTCATTCTCTGGTCAGATCCCCAGAGCATCCTGAAAGTCAGGTCCAGGATCCCTAGCATGGGAAAATAAACCATGGTCCAGATGAGGGCAAAGACTTGCTCGTGGCCACAGAATGAGTCATGGCAGAGTCCCAGGGGAGCCAGGCTCTCCTCCCTGCCTCTGAAGCTCTGTTCACACATCTTCAGGTAGCCTCCCATCTTCATGGGGGGTTATGGAGCCAAGAGTCTTCAATCCCAAAGAGATACCAAGCAGAGAGGAGGCCTGGGGATTTGGAGGGACTGAAGGGCCCACCCCAGTCCACAAGGCCACACATGGTCAGCTCTCACGGGTGCCCTGGCCAGCACCTGGAATTCTAGCCGCTTCACAGTGTGTGTGTTCTGGGCGGAACCTGCCCAGCCCTGTTCCGCTCAGGCAGAGTCCTGCCCTGCACCCACTCCCCCATGCCCGGCCCCAGACCATGCCCTAGGTAGGTGGCAGGCCACTCAGCCTGCCTGGAGAGGTCACAGTGGGGGATGAGGAGGACAACTGGGTCTTCGCTTCCGCCTTGCCCAACAGCCTCCCACTGGGTGAGCCTGGCCAAGTCGGCAGACTCCTGGGTACCTGTTTATCTTTCTGGTCCTGGCACTACCTACCAAAGGGAAAAGATATTCTTCCCTCTATGCACCTTCCCTAGTCACTGGTCCAAGGGATCAGGAGCAGTTAGCAAAGAAAGCCCCTCCTCTCCAACACGGCGCCGGGCCCATGTTCTGGTGCCGCTGAAAATCCAGCTCCGCAGGGTCCCGGACTCCTTCAGCCAGCTGATGCTTGAAACAAGCCACCCGACCCGGGTGGGGCCTGACACCCAGCGCTGGCCTGAGTCGTGGGGGTAAGGAGGAAAACCCGGGGCCTACAGGCAGGTGTGTGGCTCAGCAGTGCCAGGCTCCCCTGAGGAAACAGAAGGGTTAGTGATGACTCTCTGGAGGCCCCAAAAATGGTAACTAAAGACTTGGGGATAGACCAAAACCCCAGCCTTGCTACTCATGAGCCGTATGGCTTTGGGTGTCACTTTTTAAACATTCTGAGCTTCAGCTTCCTCCTGGGTAAAACACAGACGGACACACCACAAGTGAGGCATCAGGCTTTTTGTTGCTGTTGAGATGGAGTCTCTCTCTGTCGCCCAGGCTGGAGTGTCATGGTGTGATCTCAGATCACTGCAACCTCTCCCTCGCAGGTCCAAGCAGTTGCCCTGCCTCAGCCTTCCGAGTAGCTGGGACTACAGGAGTGGACCACCATGCCTGGCTAATTTTTGTATTTTGGATACAGAGTTTTGCCACAGGCCAGGCTGGTCTCGAACTCCTGGCCTCACATGATCTGCTTGCCTTGGCCTCCCAAAGTGCCCAGCCAGAGGCATCAGGCTTATAAGAGGCATTAGCTCATTCCGTGTGGTGATGTTAACAAATACCAGCTCACAGCCCTGGCCTCTTACCTGGAGATGGGCTCTGATCTCCAAGCACCTGAGAGTGGTGGGGGGACAGGGGTCTGAGGATGAGCACTGGAAGTAGCAGGTGAGGGACTTGAAATGAGCTGCCTAGGTTGGTTGCGGTGCTTCCTGGGTGCCCTAAGAGCCACAGCCATCTGGGGCTTTCATCCCTACAAAATCTAAGCTGACTTAGGGGTGAGATCTGCCCTGACTAGTGCCACAAATAGGGAACTCCAAGGCTCCCTTGGCCAAAGCTTCATACATCTGCAGCTCAGCAGAGGGCAGGAGAGAGGTCTGCCCAGCTCCATAGCAGTGACAAAGGATTGATTCCCTGGTTCGCTGGGGAAGGGTTCTAGGCCCCAGTCCCAGCTGAGCTTGTTAATAACTCATGTGAAATAGCTGAGGCCCTTCCCGCAGCAACCCCGTGGCACCTGGGCACGGCACCATGGGCCTCCCCATCAGCTGGATCCACTCTCGGGGAGCCTGCCTCCAGCCACTGTGGTGTCCACTCTGTTCCAGGATGGACTCACTGCAGAAGCAGGACCTCCGGAGGCCCAAGATCCACAGGGCAGCCCGGGGGGCCCCATATCAGCCACCCACGTTGGCTTCACTGCAGCGCTTGCTGTGGGTCCGTCAATCTGCCACACTGAACCACATCAATGAGGTCTGGCCCAGACTCTTCCTGGGAGATGCGTGAGTAAGACCCACGTTAGGAGTGGGGATGGCAGAAGGGTGTGAGGTTCACATGGGAATGGGGGTATGAGCCTCTCCCAGAGCCTTCCAGGGCAGAGGGGGCACCCTTGCCTCCCAATGTATCTTTCCCTATTTTTCTTTCCTTTTATATTATCACTGCTTTTAACTGTGAACTAGAATGCACATAAGAAAAGTGTGTGCATTCACAGGGCTGGGCTTGGTGGCTCACGCCTTTCTTCAATCTCAGCATTTTGCAAGGCTGAGACAAGTGAGTCACTTGAGTCAGGAGTTCGAGACCAGCCTGGCCAACATGGTGAAACCCCATCTCTGCTAAAAATACAAAATATTAGTAGGGTGTGGTGGCAGATGCCTATAATCCCAGCTACTCAAGAGTCTGAGGCAGGAGAATCCCTTGAATCTGGGAGGTGGAGGTTGCAGTAAGTTGAGATCACGCCACTGTACTCCAGCCTGGGCAACAGGACTTTTTTTGAAACTCCATCTCAAAAAAAAAAAAAAAAAGAAATGTGCACAGAGCATGTATGAACAGCGTCATCACCCAGTGAAGAGAAAGGACATTACTTGTCTCCCAGAAGCCTCTACTGAATCTTTTTCGTTTTCTTTCTTTTTTTTTTTTTTTAAGATGGGGTTTCACCATGATGGCCAGGCTGGTCTTGAACTCTTGACTTCAGGTGATCCACCCACCTCGACCTCCCAAAATCCTAGGATTACAGGCATGAGCCACCGCGCCCGGCCTAATACTGAATCTTTTTCATTATAACTTTTCTATTCTCTGTGGTTAATCACTATCTGTTGAATTAATTATTTCCCTGTTTTTCTTTAAAGTTTTACTACCTATATACTTAAACAGTGTAGTTATTGTCACCTATTGTTTAAAATTATATGAGTGGAATCATATTGCGTGTGTTTTGTGCTTGGCATCATTTGCTCAAATTTGTGAGTCACTCACGTTATTATGTGTATCTGCAGTTCATTCATTTTTTCACTGCTGTAGATTTCATTATATGATTATGTCACAGTTTATCCATTTTACTGCATATGGACATTTGAATTGTTTCTACTTTTTGACTGTTATGAACAGTGATCCTAGCAATATTTTGCTTTTACATTTTTATTTATTTACTTAGAGGCAAGGTCTCACTCTGTTGCCTAGGTTGGAGCGCAGTGATTATCATCATTCACTGCAACCTCAAATACCTAGGCTCAGCAATTCTCCCACCTCAGCCTCTCGAGTAGCTGGGAATACAGGTGTATGCCTAGCTAATTTTTCTTCCTTTCTTTTTTTTTTTTTTTTTGAGGCAGGGTCTCACTCTGCCACCCAGGCTGGAGCCTAGGAGTACAATCTCCACTCACTGCAGCCTCAACCTCCCAGGCTCAGGTGATTCTCCTACATCAGCCTCCCAAGTGAATGGAAATACTGGCATGTCCCACTATGCCTGGCTAATTTTTGTATTATTTGTAGAGATTAGGTTTCACCATGTTGCCCAGGCTGGTCTTGAACTCCTGACCTCAGGTGATTCACCTGCCTTGTTCTCCCAAAGTGCTGGGATTACAGGCGTGAGCCACAGCGCCCAGCCCCAAAAGGAGTCTTAAACGCCAATAGGAGGAGCTCCTTCGCCTTGGGCCAACTCACAGGCCCTTGTCTTTACCCCTGGTGGGTGGTGGGCAGGGGTGTTTGCAAACTTCAGCCCAGCCAGAGCTGCCCCAGTAAGATCTGCCCCCACCCTCCTAACCCCTTGTGCCCTCCCCTCCAGGTATGCAGCCCGGGACAAGAGCAAGCTGACCCAGCTGGGAATCACCCACATCGTGAATGCCGCTGCAGGCAAATTCCAGGTGGACACAGGTGCCAAGTTCTACCGCGGAATGTCCCTGGAGTACTATGGCATCGAGGCGGATGACAACCCCTTCTTCGACCTCAGTGTCTACTTTCTGCCTGTTGCTCGATACATCCGAGCTGCCCTCAGTCTTCCCCAAGGTGCACTTCTAGGGCAGGCATGGTGAGGGGTGGAGGGTGGCAGGGTGTGCTTCGGGACTCTCCATTTTTCCAGTAGCACTGGTGGGTGGGAGTCCAGAGAAACAAATCCTTTCAGCAACCCTCCCACTCCATGGGGCAAATAGCTACTACCATTCAGTGAGTGTCCCCTTCAGGGACACCCTGGAGACCAGCAATCACAGACATAACTAAGACCCAGTGGGGTCATTAGCATCACCACATCCCTCCATAAGAGGCCAGGCAATGGACAGGTACAGGACCCAGAGAAACTCTTGAGCGGCTCCTCTAAGATGAGGCCTTGGCATAGAGCTGCAGGGGCAGGGGAGAGGGCAGAACTCAAGGGAAAGGGAGGTAGATGGACCCTGCGTGTAATCTAATGCAAACCCAGGGACCCCAGGAATTCAGTAAACCCCCTTCCCCTGGCCCAGAGTTGCAAAGGATGCGTGAGGAAGCACCTGGACCGGAAGAAGGAAATCACAGCTGCTAACCTAAACCTAACCCTGCCACTAACTTGCAATGTGACTTTGAGCCAGTCTCCTCTCTCCAGGATTCAGTTACCCCATTTGACAGGGAAGACAGTGTTAGTGTTCCAGTATGCTGTGGAGGATGGTCATGGGTGTCTCTTCTTCCCAAAGGGATGGGCGGTTCAAGGGCAGGTAGCTGATGCTAGGTCGGTTCTCCCCACAGGCCGTGTGCTGGTACACTGTGCCATGGGGGTAAGCCGCTCTGCCACGCTTGTCCTGGCCTACCTCATGATCTACGAGAACATGACGCTGGTAGAGGCTATCCAGACGGTGCAGGCCCACCGCAATATCTGCCCTAACTCAGGCTTCCTCCGGCAGCTCCAGGTTCTGGACAACCGACTGGGGCAAGAGACGGGGCGGCTCTGACCTGGCAGGCGGCCAGGATCCCTGACCCTCCATCCAGCATGGCCCGACCCCACCAGCCTGGCCCTGGGGACAGCAGCCTCTGCTGTTTCTAGTGACCCTGAGATGTAAACAGCAAGTAGGGGCTGAGGCAGAGGCAGGGATAGCTGGGTGGTGACCCTTTAGCAGGTGAATGTCCCTGACCCAATCTAGAGATTCTTTATGCAAAAGTGAGTTCAGTCTGTCTCTATAATAAAATGTTCATCGTCATAAAGACAGGTGATTGTTTGGTGGTCTGTGGGGCAGTGGCTTACTCTTGGGATGGTCACAAGGTTCCAGATGGCTTGCCAACTCTGATTCAGTGGGATGGCAGCCTGAGGGAGGGGTCTGAGTCCATGACAAAGGCTTCATGAGGAAGGAGGACAGGTGGGAATTATTCGTGAAATCTGCCTTGGGTGCAGGAGGAAGGAGCAGGGTACAAGTGTGAGGATTAGATGACCTCATCCTCATTTTGTCCTCCTTGCATCCTCAGGCAAGAGTTAGGTTGTCTGATAAAGACCCAAGTTCAGCCAGGCGCGGTGGCTCATGCCTATAATCCCAGCACTTTGGAAGGCCAAGGTGGGTGGATCATGAGGTCAGGAGATCGAAACCATCCTGGCCAACATGGTGAAACCCTATCTCTACTAAAATACAAAAAATTAGCTGGGCATGGTGGCATGTACCTGTAGGCAGGGGAATCACTTCAACCTGGGAGATGGAGGTTGCTGAGCCGAGATCACACCACTGCATTCCAGCCTGGCAACAGAGCAAGACTCTGTCTCAATAAAAAAAAGACCCAAGTTGAATGTATCACCATTCTTTCCATGCCCATCCTACCCAAAGCCGACTATCAAAATTCACTGTGCACAAATAGCTTCTCTTGAAACCAATCAGTCTTCTCATTAACACTCTGCTTTCAAAAGGACGGCTTAAAATTTAGGCGCCTAACAAATAAGAGCATTAAACAAGAGGATGATGGGGTTGGGAAGGAAGCACACCAGAAATACTAGGCAGAGGACGGTTATATGATGGAACAAAACAGCTCTGAGTTTCTAAGTTTTTATCTTAGCACAACATAAAATAAAACAATAAAGTCCCCCGTCCCCCAGTTCTTCACCTGTAAATAGATCATAAAAACTCAAGGTATTTATGAGGATTAAATGGGCAGCTTTCCTCTACCTCTCTTGCTGCTTTTAGTGAGCTCTTGCCTTCTTTGTGTGCGTGTGTGTTTTGGGGGTTTCTGGTTGTTTTGTGACAGGGTCTCTGTGGCCCAGGCTGGAGTGCAGTGGCACAATCAGCTCACTGCAATCTCGACCCCTGCACCCCAACTCGAGCGATCCTTTCAGCCTCCCGAGTAGCTGGGACCACAGGTGTGAGCCATCATGCCCAATTAATTTTTAAATTTTTTGTAGAGACAAGGTCTCACTAGGTTGTCCAGGCTGGTCTTGAACTCGTGGACTCAAGTGATCCTCCTGCCTCAGTCTTCCAAAGTGCTGGGATTACAGGTGTGAGCCACTGCACCTGGCCCCTTGCCTCCTTTGGCAGGCCCTTCAATGCCAAGGTTACTCAGGGTTGTATCCTCTGCCTCCTCTCTCCTTTAGTGTTTCTGCTGTCCCCAATTCTCTGCAGCACTTGGTCCCAATCCCACGTTGCTGTTGGCTGCCTCAGGTGCTCTCTGGGTCTTTTCCAGAGGGTATATGTATGTCCTAGGTGGAGGATGGCAGGAGGGCTGGTGCAGCAATATTCAGCTTAGTCACAGGGCCCAGCCCCCACCAGGCAGGTGTAAACACTCCTGAGCTCCTCACTCTAGGAATGGAAGGCTGTTTTCAATTCACCTTGGGGGTGGTGGAGTCTGATTCTCTAGTAGACAAAGCCAGTCCCAGCTAAGCAGCCTCACCTGCCCATCCCAATTCCCTTGGATCCCTTCTCCACCTGACAGCTCAGTGCTTGTTGCTGTTTCTTGCTCATCACCATCAGTGGGACCCAAGGTAATGGCTCCAGAAGCCAGTCATCCTCATCTGAGTATGGGCAGCCTGTCCCTGACAGCTGGGGTGGATGCACTGAGGCTGTGACAAAGCCACACTCTGGGCCTGGGGCCTGGGTTCCAGCAGATCACCTTCTTGGGGCTCTGTGGATTGGGTGCAGAATCTGGGGCTGCAGGGTTTCCTCCTCAAGGAAACCATGAGGAGGTGGGTGGCAGGAAAGCCAAACATTCACCAAATACCGAGGAAATCGAGGCTGAGCTTCAGACTGGCACTTCCCCTGGGATGCCTCCCTGCCTGCCACACTCACCCAGGGAAGCCTGTAATACTGTATCTCCCTCTTCTAGACAGCAGCCTTGTGAAAAGAATTGTGTATTGTGAAGACCATGACTTTGGAGCCAGACTCTTTGGGTTCAAATCTACCTCTGCCTCTTGTCAGATGTATGATCTCAGTTAATCTCTCCATATCTATCCATAACACAGGATTTATGACAGCCACCACATAGGATTGTTATAAGGATTAAGTGGGGCATATAGAAAGGTGTTTTGCACAATATGTGGTGAGTTCCCAGAAATGATAGCTGTGGCTGGATGCAGTGCCTCACACCTGTAATCCCCATAGTTTGGGAGGCCAAGGCAGGAGGATCGCCTGAGCCCAAGAGCTCGAGACTGGTTTGGGCAATGTGTCAAGATCCCATCTCTTTTTTTTTTTTTTTTGAGATGGAGTTTCGCTCTTGTTACCCAGGCTGGAGTGCAATGGCGCGATCTCGGCTCACCGCAACCTCCACCTCCTGGGTTCAGGCAATTCTCCTGCCTCAGCCTCCTGAGTAGCTGGGATTACAGGCACACACCACCATGCCCAGCTAATTTTTTGTAGTTTTAGTAGAGACGGGGTTTCACCGTGTTGACCAGGATGGTCTCGATCTCTTGACCTCTTGATCCACCCGCCTCGGCCTCCCAAAGTGCTGGGATTACAGGCTTGAGCCACCGCGCCCGGCCGATCCCATCTCTTTTATAAAAATAATAAAATAAATAAATAAATGATAAATCACAGATCAATCATCATCACAGCACATGGTGCCTGGCCTTCAGTCTTGGACTAAAATCTGACAGCATTCTCAATGCATTGAATAAATGGATGAATGAGTAAAAATTGGCTGACTTAAAGGCAAGGTGGTATTCTGGATTGGATCCTGGGGTTTTTTTGTTTGTTTTTTCTTTTGAAATGGAGTCTTGCTCTATCGCCCAGGCTGGAGTGAAGTGGCACAATCTCAGCTTATTGCAACCTCTGCCTCCCAGGTTCAAGCAATTCTCCTGCCTCAGCCTCCCAAGTAGCTGGGATTATAGGTGCCTGCCATCATGCCCGACTAATTTTTGTATTTTTAGTAGAGATGGGGTTTCACCATGTTGGCCAGGCTGGTCTTGAACTCCCCACCTTGGCCTCCCAAAGTGCTGGAACTACAGGTGTGAGCCACCCCACCTGGCTTAATTTTTTTTTTTTTTTTTTTTAGAGACATGGTCTCCTATGTTGCCCAGGCTGGAGTGCAGTGGCTGTTCACAGGCATAATCCCACTACTGATCAGCATGAGAATTTTGACCTGCTCCATTTCCAACCTGGGCCAGTCCACCCCTCCTTAGGCAACATGGTGGTTCCCCGATCCCGGGAGGTCACCATAACGATGCTGAACTTAGTGCAGACACCCAATTGGCATAGCACACTACAGCCCAGAACTCCTGGGCTCAAGCAATCCTCTCACCTCAGCCTGCTGAATAGCTGGGACTACAGGCACGTGCCACCGTGCCTGGAGGCTTAATTTTTTTTTAATTGATTTTCATTTATTTATTTTTTAGTAGAGACAGGGTTTCACTATGTTGGTCAGGCTGGTCTTGAACTCCTGACCTCAAATGATCTGCCTGCCTCAGCCTCCCAAAGTGCTGAGATTACACTACACCTGGAGTAAACCACTACACCTGGCCTTGGATTGGATCCTGGAACAGAAAAAGAACATATGTGGAAAAGCTGGTGAAATCCAAATAACGTTTGTGGTTTAGTTAATAGTGTTACAGCAATGTTAATTTCTTTGATAAATGTAGCAAGGTTATGTAAGAAGCTAACATCAAAGAAAGCTGAGTGGATATACAAGAAATGTCTCTGCTATCTTTATAAGTCTGCTGTAAATCTAAAATTATTTCAAAAATAAAAAAATTAGCTGACAATTACCAACTGCTTTGCATATGCTGGGCACTGTACCAAGTTCTTTAGATACATAATTTCTTTTTTTTTTTCCAATTTCATCCATAATTTTTTATGTCTTTTGAAAACACGCAGAGCACAGGAGCTCAAGGCTACAGTAAGCCAAGCTGTGACTGCCCACTGCACTCCAGCCTGGGCGATAGAGTGGAACCCTGTCTCTAAAAAAGAAACAAAGAAAAAAATCACCTATCAAATACAGCAAAATGTTAAGATTTTACCATATTTATGGAGTTGTGGGAATATAGGTGTTTATTATGATTTTTTTATATTTTAAAAAATATTTCATAACTTTAAAAATTAAAAATAAATAAATCTACAAACTTCTAAATTAGGAACTTCCTACTCTATATTTAGGTTTTGAGACCGTCAAGTCAAATGGATTTTAGGAAATATTCTGGGCCGGGCGTGGTGGCTCACGCCTGTAATCCCAGCAGTTTGGGACGCCGAGGCAGACAGATCACTTGAGATCAAGAATTGGAGACCAGCCTGGCCAACATGGTGAAACCCCATCTCTAATAAAAATATAAAAATTATCGAGGGCATGGTGGCGCATATCTGTAATTCCAGCTACTTGGGAGACTGAGGCATGAGAGTCGCTTGAACCCGGGAGGCAGAGGCTGTAGTGAGCCAAGATCACACCACTGTATTCCAGCCTGCGCGACAGAGCGAGACTCTGTCTCCAAAATATAAATAAATAAAAATGAAACTTAAAAGAGGCTACATGACAAATAATCTTGCTTAAGAAAAAAGTTAATGATGATTCAAGTGGTAGTATTTAGATAAAATAATTGTGTTGAAGAGAAGCTAAGCCAGGAAGTCATACTCTCCATCGTTTCTTTCATTCCTCACAATTCTGTAGCGTGGGTCCTGTGAACACCATTTTATGGGTGAGAACACAGGTGCAGGGAGATTAGGCCAGAACAGCAGCTAGCATTGATTGAGAGCTTTATTATCTACCTGTGCTTTAGTTAGCCAGGCTAGGCCAATGGTTCTGACAGCCCCT